CAGTCCCAGTACCAAACACAGTCCCCAGATTAAACACAGTCCCAGTAGCAAAAACAGTCCCAGTGCCAAACACAGTCCCAGTACCAAATGCAGTCCAATACCAAACACAGTCCCCAGGTCAAAACACAGTCCCAGGGTCAAAACACAGTCCCAGTACCAAACACAGTCCCAGGGTCAAAACACAGTTCCAGTACCAAACACAGTCCCAGAGTCAAAACACAGTCCCAGTACCAAACACAGTTCCAGGGTCAAAACACAGTCCCAGTAACAAACACAGTTCCAGGATCAAAACACAGTCCCAGTACCAAACACAGTCCCCAAATTAAACACAGTCCCAGTACCAAAACCAATCTCCGTGTCTAAACACAGTCCCAGTACGAAATACAGTCCCCAGATTAAACACAGTCCCAGTACCAAAAACAGTCTCCGTGTCTAAACACAGTCCCAGTACCAAACACAGTCCCTGCATCAATCACAGACCAAGCACCAAACTTAGTCCCCACGTCAAAACACAGTCCCCGTGTCAAAATACAGTCCCAGCGTCAAAACACAGTCCCCGCATCAAACACAGTCCCTGCCTAGTGGGAGAATGGGGAGTGGGTGGTCTCTGAGGGAACAGGGGGCTGTCAGGCTCAGTGGGAGAATGGGGAGTGGGTGGTCTCTGAGGGAACAGGGGGCTGTCAGGTTCAGTGGGAGAATGGGGAATGGGTGGTCTCTGAGGGAACGGGGGGCTGTCAGATTCGATGGGAGAATGGGGAATGGGTGGTCTCTGAGGGAACAGGGGCTGTCAGGTTCAGTGGGAGAATGGGGAATGGGTGGTCTCTGAGGGAACAGGGGGCTGTCAGATTCGATGGAAGAATGGGGAGTGGGTGGTCTCTGAGGGAACAGGGGGCTGTCAGGTTCAGTGGGAGAATGGGGAATGGGTGGTCTCTGAGGGAACGGGGGGCTGTCAGATTCGATGGGAGAATGGGGAATGGGTGGTCTCTGAGGGAACAGGGGCTGTCAGGTTCAGTGGGAGAATGGGGAATGGGTGGTCTCTGAGGGAACGGGGGCTGTCAGGTTCGATGGGAGAATGGGGAATGGGTGGTCTCTGAGGGAACGGGGGCTGTCAGGTTCGATGGGAGAATGGGGAGTGGGTGGTCTCTGAGGGAACAGGGGGCTGTCAGGTTCAGTGGGAGAATGAGAGTGGGTGGTCTCTGAGGGAACAGGGGGCTGTCAGGTTCAGTGGGAGAATGGGGAATGGGTGGTCTCTGAGGGAACAGGGGGCTGTCAGGTTCAGTGGGAGAATGGGGAGTCGGTGGT